GTCTGAAACTGTAGATATTAAACGTAAATTTTGGATTATGTTAAATATGTGGCCTTCTTTCCTACCCACCTTGTGCACTTCAGCATGACAGGAAACACAGAATGAAGTGCTGACAGGTGGGAGAAGGTTAGAGTTGGAAAAGAGCAGGTATTTTTTGTGTATTTCAAGGGGAAAGCTGAGGTTTTGCAAATTTGGGATCCTGTTTGAATTTTTTTAAACCCTTCCAAAACCTGTAGAAAACAAGTTGGCTTTGTTCTTCTGTTGTCTTCTCACAGACTGAAGCCTTTTCTGTTGATTTTCAGATCCACCGTAGTTATTCTCCCATGTCCTTGCTGCTCCCAGGCAAGTGGACTTCTGTATGCTCTCCTGAGACAACTTTGGAAATCTAGTGACTATAGATTGTGGCTCTTGGTTCATACATGTGAAATTTCATGCAATACTGTAGAACTGAATGTGCTTCATAGCTTTGGGAGAAGTTTTGATAGCATATGTTCTTCTTCAGAAATCTTTCTCAGTGACCCTCACACTTAATATGCTTAGTATCCCCATTCATTTCAACTCTGAGAATTGTTTCAGTGCAGGTTGCAGAGCTTCATCTTGGATTCTCCTTTCATAGTTCTGGGGACTGTAAATTTGTCTTCCTTTGAGATACACTTGTTCATTTCTAAGTTGTCTGAAGAGAATACTGACTCCTATCATGTGAGAGTCTCTTTTTTCAAAAAAAAAATAGAGGTCAGGTCTTATTCTCTGTACTGTGTTATCTCTCTGTGGAACTAAAAGTCTATACTTTAGACAAAGCAGAATAATTTGTTTTCTGTTATATCACCTGTGGTGTGTGGTGGTCCATCTTCTGCTGTAGAGAAATTCTTAGCCTTTCCATTTCTTTATCTGTAGGAAGGTTTATTTTTCTTATGGCTTACTGGTATATCTAGGCTAGCTAAAATAGATGGTTTGTGCTGAGTTCCTAAGTGTCAAGGTGGGATCAGTGAAGTCTGAAGTACATGGATCGATACTATTCAACTAGATGACTTCTAATGCTGATTTTTGTTTTTATTCCAGGAGTGTACTCCAGAGAACCTGGAACTGAAAAAGAAGATTTTCAGTCAGTTAGACCTCATTGTGGGTGACAATGTTATCTTGAGCAGCTCAACCTCTTGTCTCTTACCCAGCAAACTGTTCACTGGCCTTAAACATGTTAAGCAGTGTATTGTGTCACACCCCGTAAGTATGGTTTTGTATAAACTGCATCCCAAACTCCTTTCTGCAGACTGAAAGATATTGAAGGGTATTTGGAGTGCTGATGTGCCATTGTTAGTGTGCAGGACCCTGACTTTTTTAAAAAGCTGTAGTTTGGTTATTCTGTGAGCAGCAGCATCTACTAAATTGAGGGGATGTATGCATGTTTCCTACTGTTGTCTCAAGGTATGTTCTATGTAAGCTGTTGTGCTCATATTGTTGTGTGTTACTCTAACTATTGGTTCTCAAAATATAGGAATTCTGTGTTTTGAATACAAACCTGTAACATTGCCTACTTTCTTCTTTTGTCATCGTTAGTCTTTTGTAGTATCCTTTTCCAGCTGTTCTTGGGTAGCAGTAAGAATCCAAACACTGAGCTGCATGTGTTTGTCAAGTCATGTTCATGAAAGATAGAAACTTTTGGCTCTGGTTTCTTCAGACTTCTGATGCAGCAGCAGTACACCTGAAAGAGGAATGAAGGAATGATGAAATGGAACACTTTGGACTTGGAGCTGAATTTGCATGCTTTGTGACCAACTGGGACAGAGCAGCAATGCAGAAATGGCATGACTAGAGGTTACATCAGAACCTCAAAATGGTGGAGGGCACTTGTGAGCCTCTGTAGAGGTCTATGTGGAAGGGCCAGACAGCAGTTTATCCCGTCTCTCCTCAGCATGGAAGAGGATTTTATCTTGGTCACTGGGATTCTTACTGCTTCTCTTTTCCACTACTCAATAAGCTAATGAGTTGGCCTAATGTTAGTCTGGTGTTTGACATATCGGTTAAGAGGACTGTTGTTGTGAAGGTTTGCAGCATCTGGAGAAAGGTACTGCTCTTCTCTCTGCAATTAGCTAACTACATGAAGTCTCTCCAGGGTTTCCTTCAGGGTGCACAGTAAGTCTCAGTTCCCTGGGCATGCTCAAGAATACAAAAATACAGCACTATTTTACTGTAGTGTCTCTACAGCTGCCTATAGCCTAATGCTGTAGTGTCAAAGTATTTGGTCAGTCCCTTTCTGACACCCTTCCACCACCAACATTGTGCCTTGGGGTAACTGGGTGGCAAGGGGAACAAAAAGATTGGTTTGTTTCTATATAATTAGTTTTTGATCGCTTTAAATTAAAAAGACAAAGTCAAACTTCAAAGTATGTATTTGTGCCTACATTTAGCCTTTCTCCAGTCTAAAATTCAGCAGTTTCTTATCTCATATTTCTGGGGTTGTACCTCTCTGTAGTGCAAGAGAAGAGATGATGTCTCTTCTAGATTTCTGTATTAAGTAACTATATGACTTTTTTTTTTTAACCAGTTCCTGGCCTTCTGTAGATCCTCTGACTGATTTTACTTTACTCTTTCTTACTGTTTTCCCAAGTTGGTCTGTACTAGTTGACTTTATTTAGTCTCAGCTGTGGTCTTCGTAGGAGCCAATCCTGAAAACAGGTTTTATTAGATCTGGAAAGGTCCCTGCATAAACATTTTGTAGGCTGCTGTTGTACGGATATGTGTATTTTTTCAAAGCAAATGCTCTGGAGCGCCTTAAAATGCCTAATTGTTCTGAAATGGCTTTGCAGTCCAACTGAGACTATTTTCACAGTAATTCCAGCTTTGTAGTAGCTGTACCGAGTGTACTGGAGAAGCTGTAAGCCAGTGTACTCCTCCAGGGACCTTTCTACATCTGTTATATCAGGAAACATGCTTTGCTTTGTAGTAGTTGTTGGCTTTTGGTGGGTTTTTGTTTGTGGTTGGCTTTGGGTTACTTGTTTTAACCATGAAATTACTAAGATCCTGGACACAATAGTAGGACATGGTGGCTGCAGGAAGCAAGCAGCTCTGGAAGGCACTGAAAACAAGAAGTGTGGAATTTGATACACCAGAAAAATAAGAAGCTAAAGTTGTAGAGCCTCTAACATGGGTGGGTGAGGCTATTGAGAAATGAAATGAAGTGCCCAAAGGGCAGAAGGAGATCATCCCTTAGCTTAGCATGGTTCAGTAATTAGAAAAAAGAAATGAGATCCCATAGCACAGCTGTATGATAGAAATGCACACAATGCTTACAGGTACAGCTGCTCTCTGCAAGGAGTTTCAGGCAGTGTATCAAACAGAGGTCTTCTGCAGAGTGGTTGTCTTCTCATGTACTGGGACTTCTAGGTCACACAACTAGAAATATGGAGCTAGAGGAGACTATTTGCCATTGAGTGAAGTCCCTTGCTGTGCAGGCAACCGTGTAATCAAATCACCTTAAAATGTATTAAACTCTATCTGTTAGTTTATTTTTTTTACTCCACTGCTCCTGTTAAAAGTTGTTTTCTAATTTTTGTTCCAATCTTATTAACAGTCCATGAAAATTAAATTTGATGTTTGTTGGCAGCCGTTGTATAGCTTAATTCTTTTTCTGTGTTTTTTTTGCCATATCCTTTCTTAGCTTTCATTTTGTTAGACTAAGGTAACCTGCTCCCTGAAATGCTGCTCATTTTTAGAAACCTTCCCCCATCCCCTATTTTCATCTGTGTTCTACTTCTAGTTTTTACCAACATTATTATCTCACTTCTAAAAAATTATCATCCTAAGTCTCCTCAGTGTGCTGATGAACACACCCATGTATTCCCCATGCCAAGTTCATGAAATGGAATATTTCAATAAGTTCGCTGTCAGCACTAATCTTGGAAGAAATTTTTAATAGCCTCAGTCTCTATCAACCATTAACCTGTCCTCTTTCTGATTGGAACCTCTGATATACTTAAGGGTTAGAGAAGCCTTCAGAGAATATCTTGGTGCTTGCAGCGTTTTGAGTCTTGCGCAATTGTCTGGCACCACACCTGCCATGGTGTCCATCACACCATTCTCAGCATTGGTGGTGGCACTGCCTGAGACTGATGTGAGACAGGTTATGTTGGGACACAAGGCACTCTGAAGGGAATGAAATGTGTTAAATTGGTAGTTATAACAGATGTAACATACATCAGACCCTGCAGTAAAGGGAACCATGTAAATACTGAAAGGAAAGAACATACAGAGAGGAAAGATTGCTTGCATGTAGCTGTGACTAAATCCAGTACTTGCATTCACGTGAGTACAGTTAAAAGTAGTTGACTATAAGGGAGTATGGGGAAAGAATCAGTACTTTATTACCATGCTTTAAACGTCAATGTTATTCCTGGTAGTAGTTTATGGTATGTTAGTTCATTCTATTATTGCCTGCAAACTAGACAGAGAGCGGAGTTTAACACCTTAAGAGTATGACTGAAAGACTGCTACTTTGGAAAGAGCACACAGGCAATGTAACTGTCTAGCACTATGACCTGAAGAACTTTTATCTCTTTCCAGGATGTTTTTTAGGATGTTTTTTGTCTTTTTTTTTTTTTTTTTTTTTACTTCAAAAATACATTACACAAAGGTCTTGACTTGATGAGAAATTATATTTGGGAAGAGTCAGGGAGAGGTAATCTTTTTTTTTTAAGTACAGTGTTTGAAGGTAACTTGTTCTACAACATTTTCAAAGTATGTTTTATGTGATATGTTACTGTGTTTAGCATATGCTTACAGGCTTGGGCCAGTAGCAGCTTATCTATTAAGTGTTGCGTCTTATAGGTGGTGTTTAGCAATACTTTTGTTATAAAGTTCCTGAATATCTAAAAGGAAATGCCTTGCTTAATTTGGAAATACAGGTGGTGACCATGTGTCTTACAACACCAAACAACCTGATTATTGAGATAACATCAGTTACTCAAGTCAGTATGAACTCTTGTAGTACTGTTTGAGAGCTGTCATCTTTAGTGTAGCTCCATAAACTTTTCTGGGGTTAAACAGAGTTTGATTTAGTTCAAGATTAATTATGTTTTTAATTTGAATAAATGTACCAGCTTTTATTGGATTGGTGAAGTCTTTCAGGATCTGAATTTGAGGCTTACTGTGTTCACTGGAAAATATCCAAAGTAGTAGCAGCTATAAAGATACTTTATCTTAACTTGCTCTGTTGATGGCTGACATTCTTCTTTTGTGTTTCTTCTTGAGGTAAATCCACCTTACTTTGTGCCGTTGGTTGAAATTGTTCCTCATCCAGAAACAGATCCTTCTACTACAGAGAGAACATATGCCCTGATGAAGAAGATTGGTCAATCTCCTGTCAAACTAAACAGAGAAGTTGAGGGGTTTGTTCTGAATCGACTACAGTATGCAGTGATAAGTGAAGCCTGGAGACTTGTGGGTGTATGTATATATTTGTTTTCAGTATCTGCACAAACACTTGGTCAGTTTTGTAGATTTGACAAGTAAGACTGTATATTTAAACTTCCTATAAATTTGTGTCATCTTTGTTAACATGTCCCTTGTGAACATGAAATGCATATTAACCTGTAAATTAAAACCAGTAAGAAATGAAATCAGTTATATCACTGATAGTAGTTATAAATAAAGTTTATGTAATAAATATCAGTTTATAACTGGTATTTATTAGTTGTAAATAGCAACAGCGGACAAAAACAAAGTGATATGTAATCACAACTATTCTTTATCCTGCTGTTTTTTCAGGATACTGTCATTTTCAGGAAAGCCAAAAGAAAAATCTTAAAAGCACAGAAAACAAAATACCGATTTTTCTTTTTTTTTTAGGCTGTCTCGTCATTTACTGTTATTTTTTAATGTTGCTGGCCTACTCTACAGTGGTTATGAAAACAGTGTTTTAAATGGCTTTCTCTTTGGCCCTATTCTTTATCCTGCTGTTTTTTCAGGATACTGTCATTTTCAGGAAAGCCAAAAGAAAAATCTTAAAAGCACAGAAAACAAAATACCGATTTTTCTTTTTTTTTTAGGCTGTCTCGTCATTTACTGTTATTTTTTAATGTTGCTGGCCTACTCTACAGTGGTTATGAAAACAGTGTTTTAAATGGCTTTCTCTTTGGCCTTTGAGGAATTACTAGGTTCAGCTTTCAGCAGTTACTTGATACTTGTAGGTAAAGACATATTTCTCCTCCTCCTGCCCATTCAGATTTCTAGCTGAGAATCATTTGTTTGTGTCCCTTCAGCTTTTCCCACAATTACCTGTTCTGTGCTGAAAAGTTCAATCTGTCATCAGGAGGAGCTGAGTTAAAAGTCTGTTACTATTCTGCTGAGAAGAGTTTCAATTAGGCTTGAATAGGGCTGACTTTTTTGTTGTGGAGACTGTATTGATTTTTTCAAGCTGTTTAAAGCAATCATGCAGACAGATATAGGTCAAGATCTTAAAACAAAGGTAATATTATCATAAATGGAGTATCTTTTTTTTTTTTCCAGATTAGTGTCTAAACATAGTTGCTGAGCTGATTTTGCTTACCTGTAGTTGGCTTTCACTAGCAACATAATATAACATTATAAAGGAGGTGGTGAATAATAATAAGTCAAACAATGTTATTAGGAAGGAACTGATCTTCTGGAGATGTTTTTTAAATTAAAAAAAAAGGCTTCTGTTCTTAAACATTTAATATTAATTGTTATTAAACTATGAAATGTTATTAAACATTTAATACAAAGTCTTGAGTTTATGGCAAGAAAAATCCCTTCAGCTGGAGTCATGTTCAAAGACACAGGATTGAAAGGAGAGTAACACAGAATCACAGAATGGTTGGGGTCAGAAGGAACCTTGGGAAATCATCTAGTCCCACCCTCCTGCTACAGCAGGTTGCACAGGATCATGTCTGGTGGATTTTGAGTATCTTCAGAGGAGAATACTCCACAGCCTCACTGGGCAGCCTGTTCCAGTGCTCTGTCACCCTCAAAGAAGCTTTTCCTTCCTATTCAGATGGAACTTTCTGTGTTTCTAGTTTGTGTCTCTTGCCCCTTGTCCTGTTGCTGGGCACCACTGAAAAGAGTCTGGCCCTGTTTAAATTAACCTCTAAATTATTTTTGAAACCATAAAAACACTGGTGAAAAAATATTTTTGAGAATATAAATGTGAAAACAGCTACTAAAAGCTGTGAACAAGGAAGGTAAGTTCATAAGGAACAAGCTAGATGAACTGCAATGTTCATTATTGAGGAGGTTCCCACAGTGTAACATTTCCCTGAAAGGAAGAAGTCTGACATAGAATAAGTCATGCTAAGAACAAGAATTTTGGAGAGTGAAAGAGTAAATGAGTAATGGCCAACTGCAAAGGAGAAATGGAACTTACCTGAGAAACGCAAAACTGAAATATGAAGTCGATGAAATACTAATTTAAGCACCTTTTTGTACACTACCTAGGATAATACTGCAGAAATGGAAATTCGCACACCTCAGCCCTTTTTAAGAGTTAAAGGAGTAGTTCGGAAATTGTGAACCAGTAAGTGTGATAATGTATAGGCACTTTGATACAGTACCCTTGGTCAGCACAGGTGTTCAGGGAAGTAATGCCTCAAAAATATGCCAGGATCCTTTTACATCTGAGAGCACAAACTCAGTTGTGGAAGTCACTGCCGTAGTAACCTCAGATTCTAAAAATCTGGAATGGGTTCAGGGATCTAGACACATTCAGGTTAGACTGCAGAAACAACCTCCAGCTGTCAGAGTCTCAAAGAGTGGACTGCTGGGAGCTGAGGCAGTATGTCATTGAAAGTATCATCTCTGTTTGGTCTTCAGCTGTGGAGAAAGTGTAAAAACACTTCATTGGGCTACTGTTGAAAAAGAGGTATTGACTTGAGGTGAACCTTTAGTATGGACCTGTATGGATGTTTTTGTGTGGGTGGTGGTGATGTGAATAGTAATAAAATAGTGCTTGAAGCACTGACAGATAATGAAAGTTGCTTTTGTTGTGCATCGTAAGTTTCCAAGTTGTTCTGCTCTTGTATCACTTTATAGTGTTTCAGGCAAACAAGCATTTAAACAGTAACGACTTTGGTGGCTGTGTTTTCGTTCCAAAAGCCTGAACAAATAGCAGCTGTCAAAGGTGTGTAGTTTGAGCTGTGTGACTTCAGGCTGCACACTGCCTTTGGTGAGAGGAGAATCACTACAGATAGGTGAGAGCTGCAGGCCTGGGGTTTTTTATCTGTTGTCCTGCCAACTTAGTCATTTTTATTGCAAGTTGTGGTTTTTTGGTGTTTTCCACTTTCCAAATGGGGAAAACTGCTTCTTGCTTCTGATTGTGAAGTCACTTTTCAGTTCTTGGAAAAGGTCAGTTGTTGAAAACATCAGCCTCCCCAACTCTCAGTCTGAGAGAGACTCCTAAAAATCAAGTGTTACTCACACTGATAACATCTGGGACAAATGTTTTCCTCACTCTAAGAAGTACTGGAGGTAGAAGATAAACTGCAAATAATGGCAGGAGGGGCATATTAATAATGCACTCTTGACCAAAATAACCACACTGTTAATCCTTTTGTGATTAGAGGTGTAAATTGTGTGTATTGGATGAGGCAATCCAAGTCAACTTGGATGCTGATATTCTGTCTGTATGTCTTATTTACAAACACTGTGGTGTTTTTATGCTAATAATTGTATATTGCTTTTGACTGTTGTAAAAGAACAATGAGACAGAACCATAAAAGATCATTTCAAGCTTATCTGTTTTATTAATGGTTGTAAAGGTCTGAGCAGATATCTTTGTATGTCTACAGTTACATGTCTTAAACTCATCAGTGCTTCTGTTTCTAGTTTAATTTTAACATAGTGCTTGAGAAAAATCCGTGGTGACATGGGAGGACTGTTGGATTTTTGCCTCCTTGTATCAGTTCTTTGCCACATAACTAGGGCATAAATATGCCATATGTAAACTAGGAGAGAAACAGAACAGCAGTCTCCAAGTATTTTGAAACTACTTGAAATGATCTTAAATCAGCCTCTTTATGTAAACATCTGCCTGGGTTATTTGACTTTGCTGAGACACAACCTTGGAAGTTCTCATTTGCATTCCTACCTCAAAAATATGTATTATAATGGCAGAGGAGTGATCTTACACATACACACTTGTGCACATATACTGTTATCAAAGTCCGATTTCAGACACCTTTGTATGGACAGGCCTTTTTTTTGTGTGTGTGGTGGGGGTTTTTTGTTTTCTCTTTTTGTTTTGTTTTTTTTTTCAGTCAGTTGAGATTATTTCATTAAAGAAACTAGTGGAAGTTTCTCTGGTGGAAGTAGTAAACTACCGTTAAAAGTCGTTAATGGTGGGACAGACATGCAGTACAGCTGTATAAACATCATTTATCTTGAAAACTGTATCATAAATAGACTGAGCAGCTTGCAGGATACGTTTTAGTTCCCAGATCTAGTTGGGCAACTCACAACCTGCCAGTTTCTCTCTTTTCTACAGCAGTGCTGTGTTGGGAGGGATAAGGCATGGAAACAGGGATCATACGATGGGAGAAGGGCTCTGATACAGAGCATGAAAGTGAAGATAAGGATATATAGAATGAAATGTGGTAAATGTATCTGCTTGCTGGATGCTGCTTGAAGCTCACCAACTTCTGCCATGTGGGTCCAAGAGTAGGAGACATTCTAACACAGCCAGAAATCTGAGGTAAGGCTCTGACAGCACATTGGGTTCAGGCTCAAGACTCCACAAGGTGCTCATATTGCACATGGCATGGATGCTGGAGAAGAGAGAGAAGCTTAATTCATGGCAAAATGGTTAAAGTAGCAATGAGAAACCTGGCTATTGGGATAGTTTGTCTTTGCCAAAGGTGCTGGCTCCCAGGAGCATACACAGGAAGGCTGAAATTTTAAAGCTGGGCACAAAATGAGTGCTGTGCATGCAGCACTGGACTAAATGTGGGAGTGGAAAGTATGGAGTTGAGGTGGTAAAAATTTAAGGGGCCTAAAAGTTGAGATCTAATTTGTAGGAAAGTAGATGAATGAAAACTTGTTTTGAGACATACAGGTAGTTGGGTGCTGAGAACTTTGGTCATGTGGATAATTAGGAACGTGGATTAAAGAATGCAAAAGTTTAAGAACTTAGGGGCAAAGACCATAGATTCATTTATGGGTCTAAAAGATGTAATTCAAGCAAGTGCTTTCCTTTGATGCAGGAGTGCTACAAAGAGCTGTTTCATTTTGGATCCAAATTAGTCTTTTTGTGACAAGATGTCTTTTTGAACATTGTTTTGACTTGCAAGTCATGAACGCTTGGGCAGTGCAGGTGTTTGTGGGAGGAACTTTTTGCATCAATTGTCTCTGTCTCCTCATGCTCCAAATTTATTCCATGACAAAGCAGATACCAGGAGCACTCTAGCCTGGCTCTTTTAAGGTCATGTATCTGAGAA